GTGATGACCAGTACTCATATACATTGATTCATGTTCATTTTCAGCTCCACGTAAGCCTCTAGACTCTTTCCTCTAATGTGCCAAAAGATTAACTTCTGGAATACTGTTTTGCATACCCTGTGCATATTCTATTACACTCGATACAGGCAGCCGCCACGCTAAATAATTCGAAGCAGTTTTCATAACCAACAGGAATCAGTTGAAAACCAATTGGCCCATGATACTTAATCAGAATGTTATTGACCACTGGTTCATATCCACGCAATCCTTTCATAGTTTTTAATGATTAAACACTTCATCTAACTTCGTACAGTAATATGATCGCTTATTCAATCACTGCTCAATCATCGCAACACGAAAGAGTGAATAGGCATGGATGACTGCTTTGTTAGTTAGTATATGAATAAATAAATGTGGATTGGACCGCGGGAATCTGCCTTAGACCTGTTATGACAACATCAACAGCCCGTTAATCAGGCACTTAAATAATTTGCTTACAACATGACTGCTTTATATTTTCAATGTGGCATTTGAACAAAATAATGTTTCGGAAGAACGACTGGAAACGCACAGACCGTTTCACACCGTATTAAAAAATCGCATTTAAAAGGATAAGCTATAAACGTACACAGTATCTACTAATACAATTGGACTCATGCCAATGCACGTCGCGATTGAAGTTTACTGCACTGACAAAATGGCACATACCCAATGACAAATGTCTTCTTCCGAGATGACATTACGTGCAGGATTAGAAAGCGTTATTGAGCCAAATTTTTCAGGTGTTAACAATCCAATTTGAGCGAACGATGTGATTTTGCCATTTCATGAGATCCGCCATTAGCCACCATTACACCACATTTGCCTTTCGTCTCATTCTGCTCAGAGGACAGTCAAAATGATAAAAAATGTTTCATCATGGCTCTTCGGATAAGACGTCGGCTCCCAATCTTTCTTTCTAGACTTTTAGACGAAGTGTTATTATCTTAGACGGATTTACCTTAAAGACATAAAGAGTTCTGTCGCCGCACCTCATCCCCGGGGTTTAGGTACCGTTACTCGACCATTCTGTAGTTCCTGGCAGCCCTTCGCAGAGCAATATATGTGATCGTTTAAAGTGATATTCCGTTCGTACTTTTACGAAAGGTTAACTGTTCGGAAGGATAAAATGTATTACTCATCGCACTTCGTCTTGTTATGCAGTTCATGCTTTGATCGCTGTTCTCTCCTCGACGGGGTCACCCTGGATTGACTATGAACTGCTTTTTGCATTGGATAATATTTATACTTTTTACCACACGGCTGCTGCTTGCTACATTCATTGTGATATTGCTGATGCAAGGATTACGAAGCGAAGGTCAATTATTTTAAATCAGGTGACACTGAGGTTCAGGAATGCACATTAAACAATCTCTGATTTGCTAGCATAAACTCCCACATAGTTCATCCCTACCAGTCTCTGAAAAGCTAAAATTCTGGGTCAAAGTGCCTTCCGGATCTGAAACGTGGCAGCAATTTCATCGCTGCATCACATTGTTTGAATAGCACTCTTCCTTCTTTCTGTGTAGTCTACACGAACATGCTAACAGAGATGTTGCTCATAAGAGAAAAAGGGTGCACAACACTACTGTCTTCTCAACTGTTATGATGACCACAATCAAAGGGTCCTGGCTGCAATCGCTTATAGAAGAAGTTGTGGCCCTCTTTCGTATTTGTCTATTACGAAAAAACTATAAAGTATAATGTAGTTTGGTCTTCGACGAGAGAGGATGGACTTTCGATAAAATTGAGTCTTATGATCACAAGATATGATTTGGGGCATGCAATCACTGCTCTTATGACCGAAAATGCAGCGTCCGTTTGTTACTTTACTACG